CCGGGCGCGGTGGCTCATGCCTGTAATCCTAGCACTCTGGGAGGCCGAGGCGGGCGGATTGCTCAAGGTCAGGAGTTCGAAACCAGCCTGAGCAAGACCCTGTCTCTACTATAAATGGAAAGAAATTAATTGGCCAATTAATATATATATATAATTAGCCGGGCATGGTGGTGCATGCCTATAGTCCCAGCTACTTGGGAGGCTGAGGCAGGAGGATCGCTTGAGCCCAGGAGTTTGAGGTTGCTGTGAGCGAGGCTGACGCCACAGCACTCACTCTAGCCTAGGCAACAAAGTGAGATTCTGTCTCAAAAAAAAATTAATTAATTAATTAATTTAATTTAATTAAAAATAAATAATAAATACAAACATAGCACACTGCGTAAGGAGAATATCAGTAACTTACATGTCTTCAAATCTAAGATATTTAAAAAAATTTTAAGACAGGGTCTTGCTCTGTCACCCAGGCTGGAGTGCAGTGGCATGATCATAGCTCATTGCAACCTCAAACTTCTGGACTCAAGTGGTCCTTCTGCCTCAGCCTCCCAAAGTGCTGGGATTACAGGTGCATGCCACTGTACTCAGCCAAATTTAAGGTACGTGGTATTGTAGAGTTTATTTTTATTTACCATTTACTCCTTGCAAGAAGTTTTTCAGACTTTATCTCCTTCATAGTTTCAATGAAGCACTTGAATTTTTTTCGTTTTTACTAATAACATACCTGTTAAAGGTCATTTGTTTCAGTGCCAGATCCTCCATTCAAATGTTTAATATCTTTCTGATTTTACATGAAGTCCCACTATGAACCCAGATACATTTGAGTAATTTGAAAGATTGAGATTCTTTGGATAACTTGACTTGCAGTTCAACATCATATAGCCCTTACTCAGCTCATGACTAATTTATATTATAAAATTTATAACAAGCACATGACATCAGCATTGCTTGCCTGCATCTCAGCTCTCTTCTATTTAAGATAATGAAGTCCAATTCCAAGGATCAAGTTTATTTCTCCTGCACTTTCAAAGGCATGTTTGCTAAAAAAATTAAAAAATTAAAAAAAATTAAAAAAATCTATTTCTATTCACTAGAACATAAGCAACATCAGAGCAGGGGTCTTCTATTCCCTGATGCACGCCAGCAATTGAAAGAATCCCAAGCGCCTACTAAGTGCTCAATGATATATTTGTTGGGTGAAAACATCCACTTTACTTTTCTTTCCTACTCCCTACCACCAAGTCCCTCTTGTTCTGTTTATCCCAAAATGAGTGATTCAAAATTATCTAATAGAATAACTTAACATCCAAAGTTAAGAAAAAATATATAGAAATAAATATATACACTAAAATGTAGAGAAAGAGGCCGGGTGTGGTGGCTCACGCCTGTAATCCTAGCACTCTGGGAGGCTGAGGCGGGCAGATTGCTCGAGGTCAGGAGTTCGAAACCAGCCTGAGCAAGAGCGAGACCCTGTCTCTACTATAAATAGAAAGAAATTAATTGGCCAACTAATATATATAGAAAAAATTAGCAGGGCATGGTGGCGCATGCCTGTAGTCCCAGCTACCTGGGAGGCTGTGGCAGGAGGATGGCTTCAGCCCAGGAGTTTGAGGTTGCTGTGAGCTAGGCTGACACCATGGCACTCACTCTAGCCTGGGCAACAAAGTGAGACTCTGTCTCAAAAAAAAAAAAAAAATGTAGAGAAAGGAATTCACAAATGGGAAAGAAATTCTGCATTGCCCTCTATGGACAGAATATATATAGGCCATGATGTTTAAGAAACTTCAAAGACTTTGGTACAGCATACAAGAATTACCATTCGGAAAAAGAAAATCTTTATACTGGATGTTATATATTACTGTTCTGTCCATCACCCAGTGCCTTCTCAGGAATCCCTACTCCTCCCTCACCCTGCCCTCACCTCATTGCATGACCTCACTCTTCTTTTCCAGAGAGAGAAGTTCTCCTCGATCTTCTCTTCAGCCTCCAAGTCCACAGCCCCCACACTCTCCGACATGCTGGATATATCCATCAAAATGTTAAACAATATCAAAATAATCACTCAGGCTAATATAAAAATGAGGAGATATTTGACATACTTAAATGAAATCTTAATATCTCAGGCTGAAGAATTTGTATTACTAAATATTTCACAAATTTCAGAGCCTCCCAAGGATAAATGAATAAATATATAACTTGCTGCCACTTAAACAAAACACCACCAAGGGATCCTTCCCTTGAATAGCTTCCTCCAAAAGCTAATTCTATTATCCACCCATAGTGCCACAGGATATGGGAGGTACAAATAAGTAGGAGAAAGAGGGAAATAGAATTAGAGAGAGAGAGAGAGTGCAGTTTGGCTCTCCTTCTAGCAATCTATGCTTCAGAAAATAATGGGATTCAGTCTCAGAGTCCTATGCTACATTACTCTAAACAAGCTTAAAGTTAGAGGTGTGAGCAAGCATATGCTCAGGAAATACTAGAACTTCTCAAGCCCACCTGTACTCCACTAGTTGGCTTTTGAATTTCAGTGCAGCTGAAGAGGCCTCATCGTCACCGTGTCTCTCACGGCACAGAGGTAGGAGGCAGAGTCTTTCATCTGGAGCTCCTTCAGAAGGAGGTAACTACCCAGCAGAGCGATTAAGGAATGAAGAAAAGCGACCTCTCCCCTCCAAACCATCCAGAACACTGTAAGAGAGAAATATGGGTGCTCCTCTGTCACGTTGCTGGTACCAGGACAGTCCATTGAACCCAGATGTCCGATACGTGCAGTCGACCTGGATGAAGGCTCCTTCCACAGCTGTCAACTCACTGGGCTGCTCAATGCTTTGTCCTGCAGTGCCTATGACAAGACACATCATTGTTAAGAAGCATAGGCTCCATGTGGTCACAAAAGAACTGCCACCGATGGAGGAGAAGAAAATGGTGGCAGAAGTAGCAGCAGCAATAGTAACAGGAGGACAATTAGCACCACATAAGGAAAATGTGTATAGCAAAGGCTGTTTCATTACAAATGTCAAAAGTTGCAATCTTTTCACTGGAAGAAGTATTTTGAAAACTTCCAGCAGCATTTGCTATGCAGTTGAGACTTACCTCTCATCTTCAGAAAAACATAAAGAAGGAAAAATCCCCACATCTGCTGTAGCATCCCACAAGCCTGGCCTGGCATCCCTGGTTTCTGAGCCACTGGAGTCTGCAGAAGGTGAACCCTTCATGTGGGTGAGGGAGGGAAGCTCAGTCTGGATGCAAAACCCAGAAGAGGAGGGGATGGGTATATTCACCTAACAGGGGTGGTGCGCACCATCTGGGGGATGGACTCACTTGAAGCTCTGACTCGGACAGGGCAAAAACAATATATGTAACCTAACCGTTTGTATCCCTGTAATATGCTGAAATAAAAATAAAAATTAAAGAAACAGAAGAAACACAAGGGGAGGAGCTCCTTTCTTGCCAGGGTGACTGTAAGCTTCCTGCACAGGAGCAGCTATGGGTTCCCTTGCCGGAGTCCCTTCACATGAGCATTTTCTGCCAATAAATCCACAGGTTTTAGTGCAAGCGATTGTGGTGAACACTGTACAACAGAATTATGTGTAAAGAACAGTGAAGAGAAATGAGAACATAAGACAAAGTCAAAAGTGGTCTAATTCAACCATATTGACAGTTTTCTTTTTCATGACACAACAAAATGAAATACAGAAATAATTAAAGGTGAGTTATATGTGTACATATATTGAATATTGTATGTTTGTGAAACAAACACAAAAACTTGCACACAAATGCTCAGAGCAGCATTATTTACATTAGCCAAAAAGTGTAAACAACTTAAATGTCCCATAAACTGATACATGGATAAACAAATGATGGTATATCCATAAAATGAAATATTATTTAGCCATTACAAAGAATGAAGTATTGGTACATGCTTCAACATGGATGAGGTTGAAAACATTATGCTAAGTAAAAGGAGCCAGACACGAAAGGCCACATATTGTATGATGCCATTTATATGAAATGCCCATAATAGGCAAATCCATAGAGATAGAAAGTAGATTAATAGTTGCCAGGAGTTGGGAGTTTGAGGAGAGGGAAGAAGGAGAGGGAGTGACTACTAATGAGTATGGGATTTCATTTTGGAGTGATGAAAATGTTCAGCAATTAGGCAGTAATCGATTCACAACTTTTTAAATATACTAAGAACATCAAATTACATACTTAAAAACAGCAAATTGTATGATATGTTAATTAATCTCAATAAAGCTAATATTGTTAAGATTTATTTAAATCAATGTTGGTACATATTGGAGAATTTCACTACACTTGAAATCAAGGTACTATATTTTTTTTTAAGGCTATTTACTGAGCCTTGCCATGAGCACAGTTCTACTTTTGGAATCTGCTGTCTGACTGGGATTTTGAAACTTTGCTGCTCCTTTTTGTCAGAAATCAGAAATAGAATCAGAATCATCTTTCCTCATGGAAAGCCTGTGGCGTCAAGAGTGTTAAAACTACTCCTGGATCCATGTTGACTTCAGGCTCTCCTTGACTTTCATGAGTATATACTAAAATTCCTTGTGTACGCTGAGTTCAGTCTCTAGCACAACAGCAGACTTTTGTGCAACAGTAGATGGATAGCGGCCAGGCGTGGTGGCTCACGCCTGAAATCCTAGCACCCCGGGAGGCCGAGGCGGGCAGATCGCTCAAGGTCAGGAGTTCAAAACCAGCCTGAGCAAGAGCGAGACCCTGTCTCTACTAAAAAATAGAAATAAATTAATTGGCCAACTAAAAATATACAGAGAAAAAAATTAGCCGGGCATGATGGTGCATGCCTGTAGTCCTAGCTACTCGGGAGGCTGAGGCAGCAGGATTGCTTGAGCTCAGAAGTTTGAGGTTGCTGTGAGCTAGGCTGACGCCATGGCACTCACTCTAGCCAGGGCAACAGAGTGAGACTCTGTCTCAAAAAAAAAAAAAAAACAAACAGTAGATGGATAGCAAATGTAAAGGGAAGATACTGCCTGCCTCCTCGCCTCACTCAAATTTGTTTATACAGCAGTGTTTATGCATTTTGCCCATGTTTTATACAAATTAGTAGAAAATAGGAAACAAATTTTTAGTGTCATTGATGAGAAGATTGAAATAAACTATATGCAACTAGGATAAAAATCGAAATAAACATGGGCTGTAAACAAAAAAAAATCAAAGGCAATTTTTATTCCTTATGAGCCCTCTGAAATCATTATTCTGTATTTACTGCACCTAGCAGTCTAGGGCACCTTATATTGTAATAAATGTGATACTGCCATCTTGTGACGCCACATATCATTGCCATTTTACATGCACATCACGAAATGATTCATATTTTCTTTCCTTATCAAAAATATAAAAATTTAGAATAAAAAAAAAGCTTAAAAACTCCTAGGCCTTTTCACTCATCTCATTTTACAACTGACACGTAAAACTAGACCAGGCAGCAAAATTCCCCGTGAGGCTCTGTTCCTGAATCTGAAACTAGGTTTCTCTCAAACATTGTTCAAAATATGATTAACCATTGTGAAATAAATAATTCCCTGCTACTACTCTATGCTGAATGGAGTGGTCTAGATGAAAAGCAGTTTGACTGCAGTTATGCCTCTGCGGTTTGAGGCATCCGTCCTGGTGGCTCCCAATTTGGAGCTCACATTTGAACCGCTGTGTGCTTTGCCTGTCCACAGACATCCCAGGCATCTCTCTCCACTGGCACTGACCAGAGCCTCCCACTGGGACTCGGGCACTTCTGGCTTGCTGTCTCTTCAGGCAAAGAGGTTCTTCCCACCCTGCAAGAAGAATTAACAGGTGCTGATCACTGGAAGCAGCACACCCAAGGGAGGGAGCTCACGTAGACAGTGGAAAGGGATAACAGGGGATCTGGGCACAGTTTCAGCACTGTCCACCATGGTCTATCTCTCTACATAGATGCACAAGTGATCAACCTACAATTTTAACCTGACTGTGACATTCTCCTACTTAAAGCCTTCAATGGCTCCCCAGCCCCTATAAAGTAAGGACAGATATTTATTCTGTTGTCATATAAAACCCCAACTATATCTTATTTTAATTCCACTCACAACCTAAGCTGCAAATATTCTGAATTACTTGACTTTTCTCACTCATGCCAGGCTGCTTCAGGTCTTCTTGCTTTTGCTCAAACTTTTTCCTCTGTTGAAGTGTCCCTCCATGTGTACTCATCTTTCAAGGAGCAGCACAAGGGTTACCCACTCTGTGAAATTTTCCTAGCCTCTTCCTCTAACCCCACTAAAGCCATCAGCAAACATAGCAACACTCTTCTTTGTGCTCCCTCCCTAACCTATAGTTAATATATTCTTCCCACCATAATCTTAACTTAAGCATGAGATAAGACTAACCAACTTTTGTTTCCCCAAATAAATATATGTGTGCATACATAGTCATTTATGGCCTTAAAAACAGAGGTTTTATGGAAGTGGAGGAGGAGGGAGGGAAAATCCTACTTCACTACATTTAATAGGTCAAGTCAAGACAATAAATACTAATGAATACTAAGTAATCTTTGAAGGATTTTGGCATAGAAGGGATGGTGAAAATAGAAACGATGTGGATAAAGTTTATAAGATACATGATGGGTAATATACAATGTATTTTTTATGGATCAGGGCTTTGTTCTCCCAAAAGAGATGTCAGTTATACTAGAATGGGAAATGAGAATAAATCTTGCATATGAGAGAGAGTAAAGACCTAGATTCAGAGTGGGGAGAAAGTAAGTTTCCAGGAACAATGTGGAACTGAGAGTGGAAACCTTCCAAAATGAAAAAAAAAAAAAAAGTGGGTTACACTTACTGAGTTGACCCAAGAGCCGGGTCACTGAGGAGCTGTGGCAAAGGCAGCCCAGGCTGTGGTGGCTGTGAGAAAAGAGCAAGGCCATGCTGGTGAGGGGAGGAAGACCTCCTGCCTACACCTGCTCAATTAGAGGCAGTGACTAAGCAGATGGAGGGAATTGGACAGTGGTACAGAGGCAGAGATGGCAAAAAAATCTGGACCACCAGCGACATCATGTGGTCGATGAACGCAAAACTTCTTTACTGAAGATAAGTTTCTAGATTTTTCCTTCTAGAGAATGTTGTGATTATACTGACCTCTGGGAATGGATAAGCCCCTGGGTCCTTGGTCTTACCAAAGGAGGAGGGTAGTGGTGGTAATAAGAACATTTTCACTACCTGCATGGAGACACCTGAAAGTTTACTGAAATATTAAAAGTTGCAACCTTATTTTATACCACAAGGTGAGGAGAGACATATCAGTTCTTATATTTTCCCACCTATAAGAGGAAACACAGCCTTACACCCCTCTGTCCTTCTTTATACCTCTGCAAAGAAATAATATTTTCATGTATTTTGATGTGCTCTTCCTTTTGCATGTCTATGAACAGGACCTTATCCCTTGTCACTTAAAGTATCAATGTGCTGGGAAGTGGGGTAGTCTAGCAAAGATGAAAGATCAGGATAGCAATTTACAGTAGAAATAGCAAGCAAGAAAGAAGTTATTATTCAGCTTCTAGTGGCCAAAATAAATGTTCATGTCTGCAACAAGACAATCAGCCTTAAAGTCAGGACTTGTCATGACAGAAAAAAATTTTTCTAAATTGATTTATCTCTCACTGTAACACATCAAGCCAGGTTTGGTAGACTTGATCACAGAATTTATGTGTTGAAGGCTTCACAGAACTAAGTGAAAGCAGGAAGGCCTCACCCCTGCAAATTTGGGAAGATCACAGAGCAAAGAAGGGAACAGAGGTAGGCCAAGGAGGTTAGATGCCAGGGTTTACGTTTTTCCCAACTTGAAAGCAAACCTCAAGATAAATGAAAGCCTTATGGAGCGTAAGAATACCAAAGGTCACCAGAGATAGCAGCAAGTTTCTGTGGGCAAGGTGTGGAGAGGATGTAGATCCTTAGGATAACTCTGGCTGTCGGCTCAGAGTACGGGGAACATAAACATATGAATCTGGTTTTCCAGTGCCTGGAAATAAGGAAGTTAGAGGTGCCTGTGTGTTTTGCAAGGGAAGACAAAGAAGCATGGGGAATGATAGTGCAATAGCACAAGGCTGGAGTCAAAGCCAAGTCACCAAAGCATGCAGTGATTTCCAGACCAGAGGCCAAGAACAAGAACTATAGATTCCAGACAGTAATATGCTGGTAAATGTTTAAAAACTAGTTCTCCCCACCACCACCGATAAAAGCCCTGATTTGTAGTGTTTGCCGATTTCCATGTTGTATATACTCCCCCATGATCAATTTCAGGCTCCAACATGACATCAGTGCACATGGGTTGGTAAGAGATATGTAGTAGCACACTATTACATAGAATTTCCACCATACAGGTATAATACATGTGAATAACCTCAAAGATACTAGTAAAACATAGTAGAATAATTAGAAAGTGATGTGTTTTTAATATTACTTCATTTGTTTTAATATAATTTATTTAATTAAAAATATCCAGGCTGGTCAGAGTATGGTGCTATTTACAACTAATTGATCACAGCCAGTTATAGATTCCTTTGTTCCTTCTCCATGCCCACTGCTCACTTGACTAGCCTAAAAAAAAAAAAAACTTTTTTTAATTTAAAAAAAGAAAATGTCTGATGGACATGCTGGCTCATGACTGTAATCCTATCATTCTGGGAGGCCAAGACAGGAGAATTGCCTGGGTTCAGAAGTTCAATACCAGCCTGAGCAAGAGTGAGGCCCTGTCTCTACCAAATGTAGAAAAAATGAGTTGGGTGTGGTGGCACATGCTTGCAGTCCCTGATACTTGGGAAACTGAGGCAGGAGAATCCCTTGAGCCCAGGAGTTTGAGGTTGCAGTAAACTATGATCATGCCACTGTACTCTAGCCAGGGCAATAGAGCAAGACTCAGTCTTAAAAAAAAATAAAAATAAGAAAATGTCTAATTGAAAAAAAATTATTTTTGTTTTTTTGAAAGAGGCAATGCTCTGATATGATGCCCAGGCTGGAATGCAGCAGCACAATCATAGCTCACTGCAGTCTCAAACTCCACGCTGGCTAATTGTTTTTTCTTTTTCTTCTTTTTTTTAATAGAGAAGGGATTCTCACTGTGTTGCCCAGGCTGGTCTCAAACTCCTGGACTCAAGCAATTCTCCCACCTCAGCCTCCCAAAATGCTGGGATTACAGGCCTGAGCCACCAGGCCTGGGCTACAATTTTACATTTTAATTGCAAATTTAACAAAGAACTCACAAAATCTCTGAAATTTTAACAATCAGCTATTGTAAGCCAGTAAAAACCAACTCCAACTCACAACTGATGCCAACTATGGGTAAGAGCAAGTTGCCCCAAATGCCTAGATGACACTATCCTCACATATATGGTCTAAGGAGCCTACCAGACCTGCTACACCCCAACAAAGAACAAGTATCCAAAGAACACTCCAACAATTTGAAGCCATCTATTTCCCTACTGCTATAAGAACAATGGAGTCATCCAAGACTTTTTATATTTTTTTAAATCTTTTTTTTTGCACAAATGCAGAGGAGTTTGTACCAAGACTTTTTAAATTGGAGATAACTAAATTCACTCAATTGACCTAAACTTAGGAGATTTTTTTTTCTCTCAGTGTCCAGAAAGTTGGAAATATGTAAGGAAAGGAAGATTAGCTCAATTATTGAAGGTTAAGTACATTTTCGATGCACTTCTGAGTATAATGTGGGTAAATGTATGACCCTCACAGCACTTCAAAGAAAGCGATCACAGAAGTAAAGTTCATCCAAGCAAATCATGCTGTCCCTCACAGCTCACTTTCTAGATATGCAAAAGTGATTCCTGCTTGCTGTCAAAACAAAAAATAATTAGGATCTGGGGAATGTAGTTCTCATGTGGGAAATGTTTCAGGGTAGAGCTCCCAAGAGGTGATTAGTTTTCTTCAAATCTCTTGACAGTGTTTTTAAAAACTTGATCAAAGGAGATCTAGCTAATAATGTAACTAATTCAAGATCACAAGTAGAGAAGTCACACTCTATAAAGAACCTCCAAGGGCAGGGGCCCTCATAGATTCTCAAATCAGTCACTGAGCTGATCTTCTGCAAGATTTTAGTTCCATTCCAAAGCAGGGATTCTGTAACCCATCACCATAAACCAAAGGGATATTCTGAAGGACCCTTTCCTTACCTGCTCGGCCATTCCACCCGAGACAGACCAGCCTTCTCCAAGATTTTGCTGCTGTGTCCATGTGAGTCCAAAAGCATTCCTAGAGCTGGGTCAATCCACAATAGGAGCAAATCCTTAATTTCCAGACTTTAAAAGTTTTAGCAATTTTGTCAATATTTAATCTGTTTCTTTCCCCCCATCTTCTTCCTCAACTCACCTCCAGAGTTAGTATGTTATGCCTGTGCATTTTGAATTAAACTAGGCTTTCTCCAGATTTGGGAACTTTCTTCTTTGAATTAAGAAAAAGAATTCTAAACATTTATACTTTCTTTTATTTTCTCTATTTTGGTCGTGGTGATAAAGCAATATAGATGCTGTATCAGACCCAGTGTTACCAGAGAAACACAGTAAGAGAGGAGTTCTTTAACCCTTCTTTTCCCAGAACACTCTTAGTCAACCTACTTGAAGATTAGAAGGCCTTTGTTGCAAGTTACCTTTTCTTAAGCAAGCTCTTTTTCTTTTAACTTAGAATGCAAAGACATTGGCAGGATAATCAGAGCAAGAAAACCTGGGCTCTGTCTCCCCACTGTACCCAAACTCTGTTCATTCTCCTTGCTCTGCCTTTCTGCTCAGGCCACCTAATGGCCTAAAAAGGATATGGTCTGAGTCTGGCCCTAAAGACAAACAAGAGTGAACAACTCAACACTGGGTCATTCCTCATCTCTCAGCCTTAGTGATTCATATCTGCTCTGAATGCGGATGGCCCCAACTCAGAGATGCCCTATACAAAACCCCAGCTCAGTGCAGACATGCCAGAAAGAGCCCAAACCCCTCTGGGATAAAGTGATATTTTACAAAGTGTGAAAAGGCACTGAATGCAAAGTGAACTGGCCTCCTAGGGAAGGGGAGCACAGCAAAGAGTCTGTCCTGTTGTTTCCTATCTGACGCTGTCTCACCCCTCCCTTACCTCGCCCTCTCAATGCTTCTCTCCTTCATTCCACCCTAAGAGCCCCTCCATTATATTTTCAGGCCAAAGTTCCTACATTCCATTATTTGCTGTTTTAAATGTTGAATCTAGGCAAGGTGAAATGGCTCATGCCTGTAATCCTAGCACTTTGGAAGGCAGGGGCAGGGAGATCTCTTGAGCTTGGGAGTTACAGACCAGCCTGAACTCTGAGCAAGAGCAAGACCCAGTCTCTACTACAAATAGAAAAAAATAGCTGGGTGTGGTGGTGCACGCCTGTAGACCCAGCTACTCGGGAGGCTGGGGCAGCAGGATCCCTTGAGCTCAAGAGTTTGAGGTTGCTATGATGACACCATTGCACTCTACCCAAAGTGACAGAGTGAGACTCTGTCTCAAAAAAAAAAAAAAAAAAGAAAGAAATTGAACCCTCCTCTTCCTGCCCCCCATTTTTTTTAAAAAAAAGAAAAGACTAGGCCAGGCATGGTGGCTCACGCCTGTAATCCTAGCACTCTGGGAGGCCGAGGCGGGCGGATTGCTCGAGGTCAGGAGTTCGAAACCAGCCTGAGCAAGAGCGAGACCCCGTCTCTACTATAAATAGAAATAAATTAATTGGCCAACTAATATATAGAGAGAGAGAAAAAAATAGCCGGGCATGGTGGCGCATGCCTGTGGTCCCAGCTACTTGGGAGGCTGAGGCAGGAGGATTGCTTGAGCCCAGGAGTTTGAGGTTGCTGTGAGCTAGGCTGACGCCACAGCACTCACTCTAGCCTGGGCAACAAAGGGAGACTCTGTCTCAAAAAAAAAAAAAAATAGAAAGAAAGAAAAGACTGTTCTTTTTTCAAAAGCCACTCTCTCTCATAGAATGACTCAGTCCTTCTGCAAACACACTCCCTGCCCCTACAGAGTTTCCACCTTCTAGAATTTTCCTCTACCCAGCTCCTCCTCCATATGCCTTCCTGGAAACCCTTTAAACCACCCCAAATCAAAACCACCATTTTCTGCCAACTCTGCTTGGAAAGGCAGCCTCCCTCCCTCACACCTACCCACCGCGAGCATCATCAGTGTCCCTGTCCTGCCAGCCAGGATACCCAGGGCCAGACAGGAAAGGGAGGGAGGGGGGAGCCTTCTCCCAGCAGAACATTTGGGAAAATGTGCCCAGATTTACACATCATAGCCAGGGGAAAACTCACATTGATGAAGAAAGATAATGTTTTTTTGTTGTTTTTTTTTTTTGAGACAGAGTCTTGCTTTGTTGCCCAGGCTAGAGTGAGTGCCGTGGCGTCAGCCTAGCTCACAGCAACCTCAAACTCCTGGGCACAAGCAATCCTGCTGCCTCAGCCTCCCAAGTAGCTGGGACTACAGGCATGCGCCCGGCTAATTTTTTCTATATATATTAGTTGGCCAATTAATTTCTTTCTACTTATAGTAGAGACGGGGTCTCGCTCTTGCTCAGGCTGGTTTCCAACTCCTGACCTTGAATGATCCGCCCGCCTCGGCCTCCCAGAGTGCTAGGATTACAGGTGTGAGCCACCGAGCCCAGCCAGATAACGTTTTTTATTATGCATAAAGATTTATTATATGTGTGAACATCCACATAATGATCTTTTTAGTATAATTTTAATATGATTTGATATCTGAAAATCTAGTTTTCATAAAAAATTTTTAAAAAACATCATTTGCCTAAGGTAGAAGCACATTTATAGTATGTATCTCCTCCTCTTCTATCTCTCTAATAGAAAATAAATTTGGTTCATAATTAGTATCATATATGTGCTCTCAAACTTTGCCATCTCTTTCCATTCTAACCAAAGAAAGTACCATCCATCCATCCTAAAAGAAATTAAGGTATTTTTTCTTCTGAAAATAAGAATAAGAATCTAATATAGTCATCTATTTGTGGACAAAGTCTATAATTAAGATTTCTGTGGACTCTAGACAGTAGAATACATTCAGTATTATCAATAATTACTGGATATTATTAAATGCACTTAATTCTTTCTAAATAACAATGTAGATAAAATATGTTTTTAGACTGGTGTTTATAAAAGGGAATTTTTCTAATGGGCATCCCAGTGTTTATATCTGTTAATGGTCAAATCTCAGCAAAGTTAACTTCTCACTATTTTAATAGTTGCTTCTTAAAAGATACGAAGTAGCAGATATACAAGATGAACAAATCTGGAGATCTAATGCAAAACATGAGGACTACAGTTAATAATATTTTATTATATTCAGAATTTTTACTAAATGAGTAGCTTTTAGCTACTCTCGCCACAAAAAAAAAATGAATAACTATGTGAGAGGATGAATGTGTTAACTTGCTTCGCTACAGCAACCATTGTACTATCTATATGTATCTCATAACATCATGTTTAAATATACATAATAAAATTTATTTTAAAAAACAACAAACACCAACAAAAAAGAATTATAAGATACTTTAAAGGACAGGTAAAAATACCTAAAACACTCTTTTACGAACAAATCATTCATCAAAGGGAGTTTTAAAATGACATCTGGCTCAGATGTTTAATACCTTTAAAGGGTTTTTGAGAATCCCATTTCTTGGAAGGCAGATATGGTCTTATTAAAGTAACAATGTATTAAAGGTCAAATTCTACAATAATCAAAGCTGTTAAAACCAAAATAAACAAAACCAGGAAACTATTAGGTCAACCAATAAATGTAACTGACATCGCAGAATAAAAGGAAAACAGGAATGGAGTCTTAGACTTTGTTTACACTAAGCAGAGGCTCACAGGGCTTGAACGGCAAGGCTAATCCCTTGTCCTACAGTCCTGACTATGTGCCACAAGTCCTGAGAGATGTGATTGTGCAGGGAAACATCATGCAGGATTAATAGGAGTTGGCACTATCTACTTAGCCAATCAGCCAGCAAATATTTGTTACGTTACTGTTGCCAAGCACTGGGGCAGTTGCTGCAGACACATCAGAGAACAAAGTAGACTTCATCTTTGCTCTGAAGGACCTCATAATTTAGTAGAAGAAACCAATAAGCAAATAGCTCTTATAACATTGTACCATAATTGTTCTTTATAATACAAGTTATTCTTTCCCAAAAGATTATTGTCTTCTAGAGAAGAACTCTTCCCAAAGGAGGTGACAAAGTAAATCCTGAAGAATGAAGATAAGTTAGGATATTTCTAGGTCCAGATATTTCTAGGTCCAGGAGGAAGAGGGCATTGCTGCTCTGGGGAAAATGAAAGAAAGAAGACTACAAAAATATGCAAGGGCCAGGTCACAGAGGTTCTTGTAGATCATGGGAGGAGACATGTCAAAGATAGTAAATCCGAAACCAACAAGAGGCATGGTAATCCTGGAGTAATTGTTCCACACTGCTCCATACTACCAAAGTCCAATTCTCTGTGGTCCCCCTTTGGAGCACAGACCTTCATATGTGCTTAACTATTAATATTGCTCAGACACCACTCTGTGCCTTGACTTCCAACACGCATATGCAGTGTCTCCCACTGAAGGAGAATTTCAGGGCACCTGTAACTAACCAGCCTCTGAAGGTTGTCTTGACAAGCAAACCCAGATGATTGATGTCAAATGCTTTTCACTTAAAATAAAGAAGTCTTCTGTTTACCTCCCAGGCTCTGCTCATTAGATGAAAGAAAGAGTTCTCTTATCACCTCCCCGTGTTGTTTTTCCCTTCTCAGACTTCACCATTCGTCTTAGCAGACAACAAAAAGACATGAGAAAGACCAAAAACACATCTCTGGACACCGTGGTGACAGAATTCATTCTCCTGGGCTTGCCCCACCCCTCAAATCTAAGAATCCTCCTCTTCCTGGTTTTCCTCACCATTTACATCCTGACTCAGCTGGGGAACCTGCTCATCCTGCTCACCGTGTGGGCTGACCCGAAGCTCCACGCTCGCCCCATGTACATCCTTCTCGGAGTGCTCTCCTTCCTGGACATGTGGCTCTCCTCAGTCATCGTTCCTCGAATTTTTCTAAACTTCACTCCCGCAAGCAAGGTGATCCCATTTGGTGGCTGTGTGGCTCAGCTGTATGCCTTTCACTTCCTGGGTAGCACCCAGTGCTTCCTCTACACCTTGATGGCCTACGACAGGTACCTGGCAATATGCCAGCCCCTGCGCTACCCCATGCTCATGA